TAACTTGAATTTCAAGTAACTAAGAATATCTTTCCCACTACTATACTCCTTAGATAAATATAAAAATGTCGTATGGATTCAGTGTAACGTTTTATCTCCACTATGTAATAAATGTTCCAGTTTCTATTCATAATTATTACTCACTCTCTTTTTTTTATATCATTTTCAATCTTTAGCCAATGAGCAGAAATTGGGATATTTACTGTACTGAGTTATCTCATTTGGAAACAGAGAAATGACTAATGCAGCATCATACTCTATTCAATCCTGATTAGCGTAATATGATCTGAGATCGTAGAACAACTACCAATTGAACTGATTCATTTCTTTCCCTTCTCAAGTATATTGATTTATAAGTCGTCCGTGTATACAAGACTAGGATAAGTCAGAACATATCTGTAAGTTTAGTAGACGCCACGTAATCTGCATACGTATTACGAATGAAGAGAGAGGTATCGGCGATGGTCTAAGTCTAAAGTCTAAACGCAGCTGTGGCTTTCGCAGTGCCACTGAGAATAAATCTTAACTTGAATTTCAAGTAACCAAGAATATCTTTCCCACTACTATACTCCTTAGATAAATATAAAAATGTCGTATGGATTCAGTGTAACGTTTTATCTCCACTATGTAATAAATGTTCCAGTTTCTATTCATAATTATTACTCACTCTCTTTTTTTTATATTATTTTCAATCTTAAGCCAATGAGCAGAAATTGGGACATTTACTGTACTGAGTTATCTCCTTTGGAAACAGTGAAATGACTAATGCAGCATCGTACTCTATTCAATCCTGATTAGCGTAATATGATCTGAGATCGTAGAACAACTACCAATTGAACTGATTCATTTCTTTCCCTTCTCAAGTATATTGATTTATAAGTCGTCCGTGTATACAAGACTAGGATAAGTCAGAACATATCTGTAAGTTTAGTAGACGCCACGTAATCTGCATACGTATTACGAATGAAGAGAGAGGTATCGGCGAGATATCGAAACAGGATCGACAACCTCCGATGTAGCCAACCGGTATGACCGAACAATTTATTATGAACCTGATTTACGCGAGGCTGATTCACCAGCCAGTTTAATTCAATTATGGATTAATATATCAATGATCACGGGAAATCGTAAGAAACGTGTAACATTTTCTCATACGCTTACAATTATAGCGACTATACTTGTTGTAAAAAAAAAAACAACAACATACAAATGGTTCAAGACAAATTCTACTGTCGACAAATGATCGACAGCGAAATGATTCAACCGCGTCAATCATTAATCTCACGATGGCAAAACACGAATGGAGAGACAGAGCGAACAGTGATAACGCGTAACACCGTTAATCTGTCGTTAATGATGCGCAACAAATAACATGAAATGGTTTTAATCGCGACGACGTATCGGAAGAAAAATCGCTTATCTATGTCCGCGTACGGCGGGGTTACAAAACAGGATCGACGAGCGGCTTGTACAGTCGCTCATAATATTGTCATAAGGCGTACACCTGCTGCTTTGCTGGTAGCTACGAGCCGGAGCCGGCCCGGGCTGTTTAAAGCCACCTCGCGGCTCGCAAGAAGAAGAGCCAATGTACACAGAAGGCGACGAACGATCGCAATCTACTTTGATCTCGATCCGGCTTTCCTATGGCCTCGCACCGACCTGAACACGGATCCTGACCTCCGTTAACCTGGTATGCATCCACGACCCCCGGGCAAACCGAACTTGTACTTACTCGCTTCGTTATCGATCGGATTCTCAAAATATTGAGGCTCCGCAGTTACTCTCGGCCAGTTGAAAATACGAGACGCTACAACCTGGCGCCGCTGTTCCATTTTCTACCGCGTGGGATTATTTTAGACGAATAAAAACAGTTTTTCTGAAACCTTTACTCCAGGCAAAAAACGTGAGGATAAGAACGTAGCTGTTTGATAAAGGTTTATCTGGCCGAATTCTAATGAAGATTTATGTACGGAAAACGGGAGATGAAACGAAGCCGAAATCTCTCCGGGCTTTTCATCGATTTCATTTTTAATATTGTCTGGAGAAATAGGTCGCCGTCCGAAATTAGTACGGTTATAAAACTATTATAGGAATTTATGCTTTCTCTCTGGTATTTTTCCAGCTAATCTATATACGTATTCTATTAACGAAACCGAAACTTTCACAAGCCTAATTCCTCTTAATTACTCGAGTAATCGGTCGCGCTCGTACAGACGATACGAGGAATCTTGCAACAAATTGAGTGCACGCGAGTCATCGGTAAACAAAGATAATCCTTGAACCTCATTTTCACGAAGCGCGATATACCCAGCAGCTATTCGTTTCAATGAAGGGTTTCCATTGACCATCGGGCACACGTTTCGCCATAGACTGTACGAGATAGCACCCCCGCACTCCGCGCGTTCCACGTCCGCATTGAAATAAAAGTTGCAATTGAAAACGATCTTGTTTTTGTTTGCCCGCGAGTCGGATACGCCGAGCCGTACGGCAATAAAATCCAATAACCCGCGCCCGGAAATATCGACGGTCCCCCCCTTTGTTTGAAATGGAAGGACGAGGCACGAGGAAGGAAGCGGAAATATTTCACCGGTTCGCTTTCGACGTTAATCTGACGCCCGACGAACGTATCTCCCCGTGTGACTCTCTTCTAATGGTCAAAGACATTACGTTCTTAACTTTTTACGGTATTATCGGCCGCCCCTTCCCCACCGTTCGCCAGTTTATCATCGTTCCTTGCTTCATTATCTTCCCCGGTCGAGGACTCATCCCCAAGGCATACAGTACCAACGAATATACCATCCCAGGGGTTCTCATCTCTCTCTCCCTCACTCTCTCTCTCTCTCTCTCTCTCTTTCTCGAAACGGCTAACCGAGTCCCTGTACAAAAGCAGGATTCTAATCTACGCAACTGCGTTAGGGCCGTGTAACGGTATTTTATAGCTACCAATAATAGTCGGTCATTTAGCTGGCCTGGAGAGCCCAAAGGGTACAGGCCCTCAGGTCGCATAATTACTGACCAACGTTCAGGGAGGCTCGGACCTCGAACTCTCGGACTTATTGCCGATGGAGAGGTTCCACGGCTCATAAATAGATTAGCCGATGCAATAAACGAACCATAAATTTGCGGATAAACAATTCTCTTGACTAGTGTTCGTATGTATTGGATTTTAATACGAAGCAACATGCAGATTTCATCAGTGGAATTATTCCCCAAATCTATATTGAACATCAAATATATTATTACCTTTTTTCCAAATTAATTACTGTTCATTTCATTCGTCAATTTATACAATAGTATTATATCACTCTCAATTAATATTTCTCATTGTTACATTTTATTAACATTATTTCAGTTTCATGTTTCATTTTTACTTTGTTCTGTTACTGTATTCCAATGCGTTTTACAATCTCGTGTATTAATAAATAAATAAATATTTTGACTGCTTGCAAATTGTTTCTATTCGTTATCGGACTCCATGGGAAAGATGTTTCCTATTCTAAATTGCAGCTCCAATTTTTGCACGATCATCAGCGCTGCGTCGACCGTTTTATTATCTTCCGGTCTGGAGGCGAGCAAGCGCACACAGAAGCGTCGTGTATCTCGTGTGAATGAACAGCGAGAAATTACGCAAAGTGCCGAGCGATATCAACCTAAGAAGCCGACCGTGCGCGCCGCGGACACAATCGCCCGACGATTTGTTTGCAAACAGTCCCAGGCGCGAGAACCGAATCGCGTATTAAAATTGATCGAACGGCCGCGTAACCATCGTCGTTCGCCGGTCATCGATTCATCGGCTGTAACAATAACCCCAATCCGTTCTTCGCGGCGCTCCGACCGGACGACGTTGTCGAAGAATTGCGGAAGCGGCCGATGGCAAAACCCCGGCAAGACGCCGCGGTACCCTTAGCTTCTGCGATCGACGAGCTGCCGACACAAAGAGGCCAAGCCCGGCTTATCACGAAACGCGAGCGACGGTACACATCCGTTATCGTTTCGAATTTCGTGAAAGTCAAATACCGAATACACGATTTGGTACCAGCGAGCAAAGAGGAAACTTCACGGGGTAACAAAATACAACAAGCTAGCTTGGGCTATGGGCTAGAAGAGAACTATTCAGCTAAATATCCCAATTTCTACTGCGTACAAAATTATAGAAAAATATGGCAATGAGTAGGATTTGTGACGTGAACAGAATCTTTGAAGGCTGTGCGTTAGACAAGTAAACGTGGCTTCATCGATTTTTCTTTTGCCTTGTTTTATTGACACGACATTGAAACAGGCAATTATGAAACTGAAAACCTTCGGACGATTAATTTGTTTTCGTGCGGAAGCGAACACAATCAATTTAAACGGACAACTACCGGTATATTATCTCGTACATACGTACTTCCCTCCGAAATCTTCCGTTTAACGTTGACAACAGGAACGTCTCTTCGACTTAACATCACAAACGACTTTCGAAATCGTGTAACGAACCCACCGTACACACAACTATAGAGTACAATCATAACTAGCTCAGAATAGTACAAGTCCCTCTCTTTACTATTCCTCTGGATTGTTCTATTCAATGAGCACACGATTTAACACACATGCTCATTCAAAATGAAAATTCAATCTCCCATCTAGCATCAATGCAATTTAATCTACCTACCACTCATTTGTTCCGATAATAACGTAATTAATAGACTGCCGATGTTTATGCAAATTCCTATCTTCATGAATAAAATTAAGAAAACGAGTGGCACATAAACATTTGCTTTCTCCTTTAAATATTCTAAATTGTATTTCACTCGGAATATTTTGTATTCATTTGTATTACTGCATACCGTGTCTCTTTAAATTACTGAAAAAAAATTTCCATAAACATCCGTAGATTAGTGATTAAAAAATATCTTAGAATTGTTTACTGTAAAATTATTTTCTTAAAAAATGTCGAGTGATGTAATTGGTAAAGCAGACGAACAGAACGTTACGAAATAAATGAAGGAAATGCGACTCACCATTCGAGCCAAGTCCTTGGACGTTATCCGATAAGAAAAGTCTGTCAGATGAGAGAGTATTCCTTTTATTCTAACTCCTTGCTCTTCCTGTTTCTCCTCGAGGTTGTCGAGCAGCTCACGTTTAGGTATACCGGATCGTATCGTCGCGCACGAGTTTTCTATGACACTCCGCGATCAGCTGTACCGTTCGCGTCCGGTTAATCAACAAACACTCGGAACGAAAACAGAAACAGCAACGAAACAGCGGAATAATTCACAGGCACAGCACAAACGAGAACAGCGGCGTCCGAGCGACCCACGATGGTGTCGCGTAAACAAGAGGAACGGTGCCCGACTCCGGTTACTCGTTTTCTATTCGATTCCCGGGTTTCCTTTTCCACGAGCGATCCCGAGGCCCGTCGTCGTCCCGGCGCGGCTTCTCGTTTTCCCTGTTCGCTTCGTGCAGTCCTTCACCCTCGTTGCTCCTCGACCGGGCCGCTACTGGCTCCGGAAACGTGGCTCGCACCTGTTCCACCTATAGATGGTTGTACGTCGCGGACGTTCGGTATATCTCGTCTCGTCCCGTCTCGGCTACGATTATTCCGTCGCGTGCACGGATACACTTTCACGAGCTGCTCCTCTCGTTCGACATCCGTGCCACGTTCATACAACCGAAAACGATTAAATCGATCCTCGATCAAGCGTTCTATGTCATTCGTCACGAGGTTCGTGCACTATTTACATTGCGCTCTCCTTCTTCGTTAACAAACGATCACTCCCGGTACATGAGTCTCTGCCCGGTGTTTCTTCCGTCTAACTTCGACGATTGACTAACAAGCGTGAAAGACAGTTCGGTAGCAAGTTTTCATTGGTCACGATCATCGATTTCACCGGGATCCACGCGCGGCGCCCGTTCGGAAACCAGTTTTCGATTCTCGTCCTGCGGCGAACGGATGCACTCTCTCGAAAAATGCGGCTCGCGTCTGCGCACAGGTTGCCTTCTGTACGATGCAGGCAGGCGTCGAGTGGCGACTGTCGTTTCTTCCGACACTCCGGCTGCTCCTGGCCTGTCCCTTCCCCCTCCCTCTAGCGCTCTCCAGCCGGCGTTCACAGAGGCCGACCACGGATTTATGCTATTACCGCACCGCTGCCACCCCCTATGCTCCAGTACGCCTCCGCCTATGGCTACCACTTCCCGGTGGCCTCTTCTTTTCAATCGCAGCCACCGTGACACGATCCCTTCTTTACTTCCTTCCTTATTTCCTTCGTTCGCAACTCGGCTCGCTTCCACTTAGCCATGTCAATCTTCAAATCGTCAATCGATGGATCCACTGTATTAACACTAAACCTACTATGCATCGATCGAATCAATGATTTCAAGTTCTCCTATACAGAAATCAAAAGTCTATCTATCAGTGTCTATATTAAATTATTGCTCATACATACTCAAATGAAAGAAATAACTTAATTAATCAATTCTTTCACATTCTCTGATTGTATAGATAATTTTTCAATAAAGAATTATTATTAACCCCTTGAACGTGAAATGACGAGTCCAGCTCGTCATAAACTTTCCTCTTTTTCAAGTGCTGACTGAAAATAAATTGTCGTTCAAGGGGTTAAATAACATTCGTTTCTTTTTAATATACGTAGCTTACACCGAATGTACAGTTATTTTGACTTTGAAAGATTTAAGATAGGCTATCTTATAAGATCCGAGGGTAGGCTAGTCCTTCTACCTACATAAATATACTTTAAACCAGCAATATTCCCGTCTTTCCTGAACAAGACAAGCTTGAGGACAGTCCGCAATAATCCAGGGTAGGTATCCCTATCCGTGCTATTGGTTTCTTGAAACAAACAATTTAACCTCCGACGGTCACCTACCTGTCCGCTGTCCTTGAGTCTCTAAATAATCCGGTATTTAACGGCGCGCAATAATTTAGTACGACCCGTCCTGACAATTGGTCACTTCGGGTCGGGTTATAAAAGTCCCGGTTATACCCATGGAATTAGCCTCGTCCCTTGGACCCTGCGGTCACTTTTATCTGCTAGCCAGCAAAAACAAATGGTACTCTTGGTTCGAGAGTCGAAAAAGGGAATGCCTGATATTCTGTGAAAATCATTGCTCACACAGTTTTGAGTTCACGCGTTACGCTATCAAAGTCCACGGTAAGTAAAGGGTATCGATTTATCGACAAATGTTGATGCCGGGGTTGGAAACACGTGGCCGGGACACTTCCCTCGCTCGATCTGGGCAAATTTGTCCGGTGGGGATCTGGACATCCGTGGAGTTCGTTAAAGTATATCTGTCCCTCCGGCGGAACACACAACGCAACAGTCGGTGGCGCGTCCGTCCGTGCGAAAACCGGCACGGTCGCCGCGCGTGCACGCACGTGCGTCGCCGTGCCACGCGATTCCAGCCCCTGCGGAATAAATCAAGTGAAGAAAACCTGCCGGAAGGTATTAACGTTGGGGTCGACTCGCCCCGCGCGTGTTGCGTGGATACACGCGTGTACTCGGCCCCCCCCCTTTACCCCCTTCGCGACCCCGAAGAGAGAGGGTTAAGCTGCACCCCCGCGCGGGGCCACCCTTATCGCGCGTCCCTGAAACGCCGTGTACTCTCGATCCCAAGGGATCTCCTCGTCTGGATTTACTCGGCTGACGAGAGCGATCCTGCTCGCTGAGCGACTAAAGTGGACTACAGGGATAGAGAGAAGAGCTCGCTTGTCGAGGAGATGGAAGCCGATGGGAGGTGGACGATGTTAGTGAGTAGACCGGAGCGAGGGAATCCCTTATCAGAGGTCGCGCATGACGAGACAAGCTAATTGTGTTATCAGCGCACAACGGACGCCGCCCCTGCTCCCCCTTGCCTCGTCCTGACCACTGCTCGCCCTTTCTCAACCGCTGTTTAGTTTGTAAACCGTGCTAACATGTGCCCTGACCCAACGCATCGTCTGCCGGCAGGTGCGTCACCTGAAAATTGCACCGTTCAAACGTGCGTTTGAAGTTTGGAAATTAACTCGCTAAACTTATATTCAAACTATTTCTATTCTCCAGTCTATTTCATGTATTACATAGTAAATGCTCCAATTTCTGTTCACTTCACAATTTCTACTCACTGGATTTTTCCTTATGATTTTATATGCAATTTTTAACCTGTGAGGAGAAATTGTGACATAAACAGAAATTAGGACGCTATGATCGTGAATAAAATGTATGTGGTTCCCGTTCAATTGCGGGACTCGAACGAATTGTCCATCGACGGTAAAGGCCTATTATTATTCACCCAGCGTATATTTGCAAGAGGCTCCAAGGTATTCTTTACCTTCGGGCTACAATTCTGTTTATTCTGCGAACATCGTCGCTGGATGGATTTTCGTCGACGTATAAGCATTATTCAACGGTCCCAACACCCGCTATTACAATCCATACACAATATGAAATGCGTATCATGAAATTTGCTGAAAGAACCGACGCGGTGTAACGTCGATCATTACAACGTAATCACTGTTATAAAAGTTTATCGAACCAGTAAAATTCCTACAATGTTTCTCAGCAACAGCAATTTAACGGCCCGCGATTTCTCCTGCCTGTCAGTGCGAAACATCGGAGAGAATTAAGCCGTTCCGTTGAAAAATAATTCGTGTTATACATCTCCGCGTTAAACGTTCAGTGCGCAACGTGATATAAATTAATATCTAGTATTAATTCTAGCTTTAATGTTTCCTAAGAACTTGCGTTGTTTTCTAAACTTTACTGCGATGGTAGTGTACCTATATACGTACTGGCGGTACCTACACATTTCATTTTGCACGCAAATTTTCTGTTTATTGCAAATGAATGATGTGCTATTCTATATACACGTAGATGAAATATGTAAACCGAACGAGGAAGGCAATGAAGGAGAAATTATTTAAACTGAAATTATTTATCAGCTGCCTGTAATTACATACATCGTTCGCGACGCCGCGTGATATAGTATCACCTAAATAATGGTTCTCATAATGAATACTGATCTGGGATGGGTTGTAAACGGCGTTTGAAATGTGGTAATTATGTAGCTAAGCGTATCTAGAAAATTTATGTTTATTGGTGTGCTAATAGGTACCAATGTTACGTGAGACGCGTTTTGTGTTTGCACACCTTGACACTAAATGTATGTGTACCACAATCCTGATAAACGGACAATACCTCCAGAGATGAAAGATCAGAATACTTAAGGATGTATAGGCTATATACTTAAACGATGCTAGTATGTTGAATTTGTTATTATAGATTCTTGTTACTATTAAAAAGCTATCTGTAAAATTTTAAATCAATTCATGAGTTTTTTGAAAAATTATAGTGA